GATTTTTAGACATTTCCGGAGTACCAGGAACAGGCAAGACTGCAACAGTTCACGCCATTGTTCGTGAGCTCAAACGAATGGCTGAGAACAATGTCTGTTCTTTTCCAGTTAGTTCTTCTTCTCACCCAATGATTCTTGCTTGGTAGGAAACGAACCCTTTCACTTACGTTGAAATCAACGGACTCAGGATTCCCGAGCCATCTGCTGCATATAACCTACTTTGGGAGACAGTCTCAGGGCATGATGTAGCTAGCGATGGTCACCTCAAAACCAGCGCCAAGGAGGCGCTCAAGCAGCTTACCAAACACTTCTCTGCAGGTGCACGGGCGGGTCCCGCAGGGCACGCGTGGTAAGCAGTAGTTACCTTAACCAGTCGGTCATCGCTAAGTTGCGTGCCTAGCGTCGTTCTTATGGACGAGCTTGATCAACTCGTCACGGCAAAGCAGGATGTAGTATACAATTTCTTCAACTGGCCCACAATCGCAGGCTCAAAGCTTGTTGTGATTGCTGTCGCAAACACCATGGACCTTCCAGAGCGAGTGATGACTGGACGCGTGCGCAGTCGACTTGGTGCGTGCCGTTAAATCAAGTACCCCACCTGCTTCATGCTCATTTATGTGCTGCAAAGGAATGATTCGAACTAACTTCCAGCCATATACGACACAACAGCTCGAGAAAATCGTGCATGCACGTCTCAAAGAAGCCAAAGAGGGCCTCGAACAGCCACCGGACGTGATCAACGCCGACGGCGTAAAGTTTGCCGCAATGAAGGTCTCATCGATCAGCGGAGACGCACGAAGGGTACTTGATATTTGCCGGTACGTATCGGGCATGTTTTATAACGACAATACAACTGAACTCAAATGTAGACGAGCGGTGGAACTCGTGCATCCCAAACGGCGTGCCGCTCGTACGGAGGATGTGAAGGAGGTTATCAAAGTGTTACAGAATAGCCCAACCGCAGCATACCTCCGAGACTGCAGCTTACATGAGCGGATCATGCTCGCATCCCTGCTAAGATGCATCAAGCGGGAGGGTATTGAGGAGATCAAATGGGGCGAGGTATGTGTTTTATTTTTATTTTTATTCCGCGGAGTGCTGGACTAACAGTACGTAAGATTGAAAACCAGCATGTCGTATATGTTGAAACCCTGACTTCGGAAGGAGATCCGTCGCGGAAGCCCACGCCGGTGGAACTGGGACTTGTTCTGGACTCCCTGGTTGCCTCCCGCGCTATGATCATCGAGGATGGTGTGAATGCCGTCCGCAAGCCCCCCCGGGAACGCAGGGTCATTCTCAACTTGGAGCAGACGGAGGTAGAGAGAGTACTGAGTGAGGTAGGCGGACGGTTGTGGGCAACAGCGCTTGGTGTTGGTGCATGATCAATACCAAAGATGTTTTTGGATCTGATTGACAGGATTCGATCTGTCAGCGTCACTGGCTGGGAACGTTCTTGAGGCCACCCTATCTCACCTGTCTCATTAATATTGTACTGATACCATCACTTAGATGTCATGTAGATGTATTTCATATTCTCTGCCCTAAGCTAAGTACTGGTGTCTTTCAAATCTGCAGTTTAATTTGGGACCTTTATGTGATCAGCGGCAAGCTCCGAGGAAGCAGCACCGGTATCTCAAGCATGCAAGTACCTCCTGCCAATGGGTTTCGGAAGCAAATCATCTACAAAAAAAATGACGGCAGTCCTAGTCAGCACGTCACCGATCAAATCTTAAGTGCTATCGTTGACGCAGACATCGCATTCATGATCTTCTAATTTAAATCCTAACCCCATCGAACGATCAGCGCTGCGCCGACTGAAGCAAGTTAGGACTATCAAGCACTATCCATCATCTCACACTATCGCAGGTTGCAGGAGGCCGGGCAGACGTATTTGTAGACGACTTCTGAAACGCACTCTACATTCATAGGTGTAAAGTTTTTGGTAATCAAGTGCACTAGCCCACCACAAAAATAATTTATTTCTAATTTCTCTTGTTCTCCGGTCTGTCCCGTGCAGGGATAACCATCTACGAATTATGCTTCTACAAGCCGGGATTTTACCTCTGTCCCTCGTTCCATCGGCAGGTGCTTCGTATGTGCGACGTTCGTTCGTTGTGAGGCTTGCACTGGTGCGATGACACAGGCCATGGTAGTGAAGTTATTCAGCTCGTAGATGCTTTTTAAAAATCGGATTTATTGTCCTTTGGGGTCGAAGCTTGAAGACCTATCATATGTTGAACGTGGCTTCATTCGAGTGCGTGGGGGATCTTTTTTATCGTGGTTCGTAAATTCTTGTTCCTTCTATCGCCTCACAGTTACCATTCCTTTACTCCTCGTGTTCACTCAATAATGATCTTATTTCAATTTAATGGACGCCGACGCCAACGCCTCCGTGTCATAATGAAGCACATCTAGGCAATAGCTCTCTTTCATTAGCTGGCACTTTATGTTTGTCAGATGGTCAGTCATTTCGTTGGAAGAAGCCTTGCTGATTTGTTGGTAGTAAGTACTAGTGAGTTGACACGTTCGCATCATCAATATTAATCTCGATGAGAATAGATACGTCGTTCCATATCATACGCTAACGTATCTTCTAACTACAGTGCAATTTGGTATACAATCGAAAGGTACAGTTGAAATCTCCAGATAGCGAGTAACTACAACACACGAACTTTGAAAGTAAAATCATACTATTACAACGGAACAGCAGCGGAACAAGTGCAGTACGTACAATCACTGGGAACTCCCAGTATAATAAACGCTTGAGGCGTTGTCGTTGACGATGGCATCTAATCCGTGCTCTTTAAACGCCATCCTGAGCGCTGTTGATGGGCTGAAGAGCAAATTCGGTCGATTCGTTATCTCGTATCCCTCGTGAATACGTATCACAGGCGGCAAGGAAATGCTATGCAGTCCCGTAGACTGGCGCCACTTGCTAGCCACTTGCCAAGGACGTTCCGATGCCTCCGGAAAGATATGAAGATAGTTGGACACCGGCTTGAATTTGAATTTGTCTGTGGGCGCCTCTGCAACAGGATCGATCTCAAGAACAAGACGATCCTGGAATTCCGGGTATTCTGCCTGAGCGGTCACCGACAATTGAGAGATAAACTCTCGGTGAGACTGAATTTCAGCATCTTCGATCTTGGCTAACAGGAAGAGGCTCCTCCTGATATATCGTGAAGTATTCGGGCCTGTGAATGTCTCAGTATGCAAAACGCGTGAGATCACGTAGGAAGACGCGCCGATGGCAGCTTTGAGGTACTTGCACGCTATACGATGGCCCTGGTCCCAATCTATGTTCTGACATTGTCTAGAACAATACCTCGCAACTGTGCACCTGGCACACTGGAATAGATCCCATTGCGGATGCCATTCGTCGCTGTTCTGCAGAATCAGGGGCTGATTAGCAACAACGGTCTCTAGAGGGGAAAAGTATATGGTTTACTCACATGCACAGCAGCGCATTGACGATCGAAGAATATCGATGCTGCGGGTATCTGGCTTCTAAGGTCCAAGAAACGTCGAACATCTTTTTTGAACAGATTCCAGGCCTGTAGTAGGTCTGTATCACGCTGAGCAATCGCATCTAGCGATTTCTCGTCAGCCTCTAGCTCGCTCCCGGCGATCCGCAAGACCTTGTCGAACGTGAGGTATGAACGAAGGGCAGTAATCAACAATGCATTAAGGCATTCCGCCGTATCCGCACCGGGAATACAGGTATGAGCTTGAAGGATGGTAGGGAGGAATCGCGCCCGAAGGGCTTGACATATAACGGCTACAAGGTCATCCACAGGACCTCCCATGAGTAATGCAATATAGCCTAAAGCATCCTCAAACGCCTTCTTGACGTGTTTGGCGAAGTCATCGTGCTTCAGGGTTAGAGAGAGTTGACATAGATCACGAAGGGTGTAGATAACGATGGCCACGAGGTTTCTATCAATGTAGGCCTCTCGCAAGGCGCAGTTCTGTTGACTAGTAACGAATAGTAGGTTTGCACAATTCCCAAAGCAATTAATGAGCATTATTTGCCAACGAGGCACCCCAAAGACAGAATCGCATGAAGTTGTATCATCGATGCTTTGTCCAGAAACGACCTTCTTCCTGTACAAACAACGGATATTTCTGAGATATTTGGAGGTAATAGAAGCCATGGCTCTAATGCCTCCAGCGACATGAATAAGGGTGGACGCAAAAGCAGGACGATCGACATCCAGACATGCCTGTACCACGTATGACATGTGCTCCTGGAATGCCCCTTGTTCCTTGCTGCCCATTACCTTGTCAGCTTCGGTGAGAAAGTCATTATCCTTTGAGGTGACGGCCATGCACCACAGCTGCGAGATAATGGGGTGTAGAGATGGTGTGTTGATGAGTGACTGTGGTGTTTGTGAATCACCGATTAGGCTCATCCTCATCAACATGTTGACAACTAGCTTCAGAGCTTCTGATCTAGTTATAAGAAGACCCGGAAGGCGGGCAGGGTTGCTGGAGGCGAAGAAGTGACGATAGAAGAAATTGACCCAGAGATGACAGCGATTCCAATTGGATATTAGGTTGTCAGCGATGGCCTGTAGCGACTGCGTTAATTCTCTTGGATGATTGACACGATTCAGTGTGACCAGTACTCCTTTAAGGGAGTACCTTGCGAGCATGACACTCCTCACATCCCTCGAAGTGACCACATCGGGGATGCGAGCTGGATCAAGGTGGTGATAAAAGACTGGGAGCAGTATCAGAAGTTGGTCTGGTTTCCAATGTTGCGCGATGTTGCATAGTCCGTCGAGCTCCTTGATTGACCCGCTGGCAGCTTTGTTGATCATGAACTATTAAGACAGGAGACAATTAACCCGAGTAAATGCAGAATCGTGGGCATATTCTCGCACACACCTGTATCACTCGGGCAAATGTATGGCCATCTTCAGGTTGCCTTTGAGGAGGGGCGGACGACATGGGGATGTTCAAGCACTGGTACGCTGAAGCGCTCATCGATGCACACGTTCGTCACGCGACTGTCACGTAACGCTGTGTCATGTTACTTACCAGAACAGCGAAACTGACAATACACTTGAACAAAAAACATATTCTCCAGTATAAATTCCTCTCCCTGTTTTTTCCATTGTCAACTATGAGCGTAAAGATCGTAAAGATACAAAGTTCATGATGTAGACTGAGGTTGCGCTTCAAGTGTGTGAAGGTAGACGTGAAGGTATATGTAACAGTAACAGGATGTGTGACGGTGAAATCATGCCCAGTTATCGATAAGAGAATCCCGCATCTCTCCAATGACAGCTGAAGAATTTTGTCCTTGAAGCTCTGTGATAGTAAAACACGTTGAAAAGGTGAAAAAAGGAGGTAAGAATGCAGACCCACTGAATGCAGCTTCGATGACACTGATCTCTGTGGCGGTAGTGTCAAGTCCAGTAAACGCGCACCAGTCGTTCACGACAAGACCTCCACCTATAACGTCTGAACCTCTGTTGACAGTACCAGCCTAGGAGCACGAGAATAAATTGAGTTACAAAATGGCTACGCTGGGCTTCCTATAAATACGCACCACGAGGGGAATTTGCAGAAGGCTACTTAGTTCATCCTGGTCCTGAACACTCGTCTTTGGATGAACAAGTCCACCCTGATTTGAGATCGCACAATAGCTTCCAACGAGGACGTTATCTGCGACGGTCTGCCTAAAAACCTCGACCTTGAGCACATCAGCGATTATTTCCTCTGTCTCGCGATCAACGTCAGGGTGGACGAGGGCAACGTAATCGTTGCAAGCGATAACGTTTCCCAGCGCAGATAGACGTTCTTCGATTCGCTGGATCGACACAGCGTCAGGAAGGGAGTTGCGTAGATGCTGCAGTTCTTGATCAGTCGTCGTTGAAGGGACGAGGAGACCATGTCTATTTCCTAGAAACGATGCGCATCAGCCTTGTGTGTTATTATGAGTAAAAACATATCACAAACCTGCAGTCAATCTCCCGACGATGCGGGTGCCGCCTATCGTAGAATGCACGATGGGAATGACATCGCCAAGTTCAGCCTCAAAGGCCGAGTAGAAATTTGCACTGCCTTGGATTGCAGCTAGGCAGTAGCTGTTGGTGAGTTTTGAGAACACGCCGATTTCACTACTGTTTTCGAATTGGATACCTGTAATGCATGTCCATGGAACGCATAGATTACACATCAATAAAAACACTCACGAGTTGCCATGATTGGTTGGTTGTTGAGGGGTTGGAGAATACTAATCTACAGAAGTTATAAGAAGAAGATAAACAGAAAAGCTAGTACTTGGGTTCCGGCCGGAGGTTGTGAAGGTTGTGAGTATCTGAGTGCGTGAAATTTTATATAAGGCCAATCTACAAAATATTGACGAGTCAATCGTAATCAGGCTGCCCACGGCCCACGGCGGTTCCGCTTCCCTGAGTTCCTCCCGGACGCTATTTTTACTCGACACCTTAAGTCCCGATGACTCAATTTGCTTAACCGAATTCCACTGATGCTCCGATTTGCTACAAGGTATGGTTCAAATGGACTGTCTTTGTGGCTCAGGCAGTCAAACTGCCGTCACGGACTCAATGCAAGGACTATCCTGCGTGCCCGCAAGATGTCTGGGGATTCCTTCGGTCCTCCGACGGATGTCGAAAAAATAATGCTGGACAGTGTCAAGGTGAGGACTTTGACCGTGCAACTTCTCAAATATGGGTCTCATAGAATCAAGGCAACAGGTCCTATATCATTCTCGACGTTCATGCAACTTAGTCTTGGGCACCCCACGCATGGGTACTACATGAAGCCGGAACATGCTGTCTTTGGCACTCAAGGCGACTTTATCACAAGTCCTGAGATTAGCCAGATGTTTGGCGAGGTGAGTTTCACGCTATCGTTTATATCACATGTTGACAACGCGAAATGCGTTACAAGTAGCTTGTCGCGTTATGGATGATAAAGCAGTGGATGGATACCAATGTTAAAGTGTCCTTCCGAGTGGTAGAACTTGGACCTGGTAGAGGAACGTTAATGGACGACGTACTTCGGGTGAGTGATGCTGAACGGGTGGTTGGTTGTGTCTCACCATGTTTCTTCCAGGTTTTGAAACAGCTTCCTGCAGCACGCGGAAAACTGAAAAGTATTCACCTTGTCGAGAGCAGTGCGACTATGCGTGCTTTGCAGGAAGGCAAGCTTCGTAAGGCTTCTCAGGAGGGCAATTTCCAGATAATGTGGCATGACGCAATCGAAGAGATCGAGCCCGAGGAAGATGTCTTTACTATGCTGGTCGCTCATGAGTTTTTCGATGCCCTTCCCGTGAACGTCATCGAGGTGAGTTCCGTTCAGAGACACGAACATTTACTTTACTAACGGTAATTATAGAAAACTCAACAAGGCTGGAACGAGGTGCTAATCGCCCCCTCGAGTGATCCGAGCATCAGATACACCATACCCTCTTCGGACTTGGACCAGAATTTAGACTCTCCCCCGAAATTGCATCATATGCCTTCACGCTGGACCCGTGTCCTTTCGCCAACTCCGACGGCATCATCGACCCTCCTCGGACTTGCATCTCCTCGGTTTTTTTCGCTCCCTGTGGGAACTCGCATAGAAGTATCCAGAGCGTCCATGAATCAAGCACGGGGTATTGGGAAACTTATTAATACCAAGGGTGGAGGATGCGCACTTGTCGTCGACTATGGTGCAGACAGAGCCTTTGGCGATTCCTTGCGGGTAGGAACTCAAACGCATGCACCGAATTGTAGCCAATAACCATTCACAGGCCTTCAGAAAGCATAAAATCGTCGATATCTTCTGCAGTCCCGGAGAGTGCGACGTTACGACGAATGTCGATTTTGCGTTGCTGAAAGAGTCTATGGCTGACCTTGGTACGTCCATGATAGTGCTCTGCTACATGATTATGGTCATCTAAGATGTGCAGTCTCGACACATGGCCCTATCTCCCAACGCAACTTCCTCACGTGCATGGGCATAGAAATCAGGGCCGCTGCCCTTATGCGCTCAGCTTCCTCTCTAGAGAGGAAAAAGGCGATCGAAGATGGCGCAAATAGGCTCATTGATCCCTGTGGGATGGGTGAGCAGTACAAGGTGTTGGGAGCTGTTGCGAAAGGTAGGGGTGAGATCTGGCCATTCGCTGTCATCCAGGATAGTGCACAACAATCTATTTAATTGACAGATAGATACCACACGAGTACGTAATAAATACAATGGTAAGGGCCTGAGAATCAACGGCCTACCACGAAAACACAATAAAATACACCACCGAGGAGCCTACGATTTATGCGTAGTGAGCCTTGATGATATCTGCCAACTTCTCGGCTGTCGCAATAACTGCACCAGTCTAAATCGTTATCAGCTTCCACGGCCATCTTTCAGAGCTTCCACATACCGGGTGTCCTGAGACCAATTTAGGGAAAACACTTGCATCGCACACCCGGAGCCCCTGAGTGCCCTTGACACGCAACTCCGAGTCCACGACACCGCCAGCTCCCATCGAACACGTCCCTACCGGGTGATACAGCGTCTCCACGCGGTCTCTAACAATATCCGCCAGCTCTGCGTCGCTTAGACTGGAGATGTGATGGTCAAGTTCAGGGTAGTGTGTGGCATTCACGTCGGTGACAGAGGTCATGGGCGCTGTATGTGCGATTTTAAGAGCAGCGCGGATACCTCGAACGAGTACGTCGACATCGTGTTTTGTTTCGAGGTAGCTGGCCCGTGATAGTGATAAGTACAGAGTGAGTTTAAAGTAAACGGGTCAGCCTACCTGGGATCCATGAGCGGATCATCCCAAGGGTCGGCAGACTTGAGAAAGAGCGAACCTTTACTTGTGGGACTAGTAATACAGAACGTCTCGGTCAAGTTTGAAGTAGAAACATTGATGGCTTACCGTAATAAGATAACGATCATCTGATATGCCTGGAACTTTGGGCCGAGTGGTATGGTGTGCGCACGTACTGCGCCGGCACACATGATGATCTCGATATCGGGTGCATCTGGGCCTGAATTGGCGTCTTCGAGGTCGTTGTTGTACTCAGCGGGCGGGAAGAGCACTTGGTCGTCTGATCGGAAGAATGCTACAGACTCGCCGACCTGTGATACTATTCAGTACTGGTGATGTGAGCGCAAGGAAGATTTGACAAACATTAGAAGCGAGTGGGCCGGTGCCCCACAGTTTATATCGCAGCAAGTCGCGTATAAGCAAGCGCGTGCTGTTCAAACTGTGAGGCGTAAAATGGTGAAACGTAGTTCCTGTTTTGTCCCTGAACCGGAGATTGATTGATGGGTGATCCAAGAGGTTAGCCCCGACGCTGGGGGCATCGAGCACGACCGGGATGTTGTGACGTAAAAGCTGCGCAGCTGGACCAATGCCAGAAAGCATCAAGATTTGCGGAGAGTGTATGGTACCGCCGCTATGAAAAGGTGAATAACCGTTTTGGGCATATCAAGCGATCCCGCACCAGACAATGACTTCCTTGGTCGCTCGTGCACGGAACTTGGGCCCGACTTTATCCATATGAGATTTGCTGGCAAACTCGACACCAGTGGCACGTGGAGTGCCACCGGATGTGTCAAAGAGAACTTTGGAAACACGCGCGTGGGTGACGACTTTCAAATTCGGACGAGCAAGGACGTCGTCAGTGAGGTATGCAGACTCAGTGGTTACACGAGTGCTCTTGCTGTCGATGTACATCACTACGTATCAGTTGTTCAGCACTTGTTGATCTGACGGTCAGTGCTAATGACTCACTGATCTGTGCCATATTCATAATGAATGACCAATGTTAGTGAACCTTGAACAAATCGGCAGAACCTGTAAAGACTCGCCTTATTTGTCCCTTTCGTTCCCTTGGTCGTACAGAAATCGGGTGAGAAAGGGATACCGACGTTGATGCTTGCCTCAACAAAAGCTTGGGCACCTGGCCATATGTGGGGGCTGTACTTAATCTCAACAGGCCCATTGGCACCGCGGAGGAGCGGATCAACGTGTGGGAAGCGCGGGTCTGGGGTGTATTTCTCGAACTTGCGAATATACCTAAGCAACAAAGTTATCGGAGGTGAGGAGAAACGAGAAATGAACTACGTGCTTGCTAAAATTGTTCCACGACCAGGATTGGTCGCCGGAAATTAGCGCCCACTCGTCAAAATCGGACGGTGCGCCGTATTGTGCACTTAGGACGTAATAGGGATAAATGAACCTGCAGGAAGATGCATTATGACTCACATCATGGCATTCATAGCAGAACCTGAGGAACATTAAATTATTTCCTTACCAGGAGAACGACTACGACTACTCACATCCTCCGAGAAGTTTGGCTGCACATAGGAGGATCAGTATAACAACTGGGAAGTCGAGGAATACCGCGACGACGTACCGCGAGGCCAATATTTTTTCTTATTGCCTGCGTATTGCTGAGGCTCGGTATAAAGATGGTAGTCCCATTGACTGCGCATTAGTTTCGCGAACGCAACAGGTATCTTGCTTATATCGACATCTTTAGAACTATGAAGAACTTGAGCATGTCAGACGTGGATAATAGCCTCAAAGACGCTGACCTTCCACCAGCCTCGATGAGTAGAACCCGTAGGTTTGGGTCTTCGGAGAGACGTGAAGCGAGAACACATCCTGCTGTGCCTAGACACGTTCGGAGGATAGGAAATGTTGGCTACTAGTGTGGAATGTTGAATGCATCATACCTCCTCCAACAATGATGAAGTCCCACTCATCAACCTCGGCTCCATTATCATTGACTTTCCTCGCTACTTTCGCGTAGTCCGTTATGAGTTTTGGTTGTTTCGCGGTGAGGTACCTCAAGACGATCGTTAACGCCACTACGCTCGCTGCTGCACCAAGAGAGAGCCTAGTTGGGGTGGCAGAGCGAGCCTGAATAGCTTCCAGAACGCCGAGCAGCTTCGCAAACACGTCTGTATGGATCATGATTTATACAGGGTAGAAGGTTGGAAGGAGGCAGAGGAGAACGGAAAATACTTGTAGTCCTTCGGCAAGCCAGCTCACGGTTCCGGATCTGGATCTGGATGCAAACTTACTACAATGCATCAATGCATGGCATGTGAACACTAGTAGTGACATTCATCCGAGCTATTACCGACTCGTTCCACGATAGCCGATTCGTGGCCGAGGCAATTGACAATCAAAAAAAAAACGTGACAACAACGTGAATGGTGCGTCATCCAACGGAACCAACTCGTGCCTGACATTAATTTTGACGGCAGACCTAGCTATCTGCGCTCGGGCCTAAACATCTCGTTGAATGAGTACTGTGACTAGTGCTGCATGAGCAAAAGGAAAAAGAATGACATCCGAGGCGGTCAGTTGCAAACCCACTTTCAGCCAGGCAATCGAAGATGGTCATGAGATCACCGCCCATGCAGCTAGACTAGACCAGGAACTTCATTCTTATCTAAACTAGTACTTGCTCCGAGTCTTGGGCATCAGAATTCGAGAAAGCCTCATTACATAGTTTAAAATTGCTGCACCAACTTCTTTTATCTAATGATAGTATATAGCTGTACATTATAAGTAGTCTCCCTCCACCTTGATGGCATAGCATGCTTTTTTTTCAAACATAGTCTAGCCAAGCTCCCGAACCCTATCAGGCCCGTAGTACCAGGCTCGTGACTGCAGTGCTGTGTGGGTGGCTGTGCTCCGAAGAAACCACCATTTGCGGGTCACGACCATATTCCACCGCCCTCTGCAAGCTTGCCGTTCGAGTACTCATCGTCACGGACCCGTGCTGGCCACCTTTCAACGCTTATTTCCTCTCGCCTTCTTCTCAAGAATACAACAATCCCGCAGGAGTAATACCCTCCCTATCTCTGAGTCTAGGCATAGCCCCCCTCAAACTTCAAACATGCCTTCAGACAGCCCCCCGCCAACCAAAGCCGGTCTTCTCAAGTGGTGGACTCAATTCACCCATGCTCAGAATCGCAAAAAAGATTCAGACCCGAGTAGAAGTCCGTACTATTCTGACTTCCGGTTCATGACGTTGACTAATGCCAATCAATTATTCAGCTGTAGATCAGGAGGAACATCCGGTGTTTCAAAAACCACTCAAAGAGAGTCTGAGATATGCAAGCGTGCAGATTTCGACTGCAAATGCAAATGGCGAGCTCTACATTTGGGGGTACATACCTGTCGTCGTGGCGAAATGGTGAGTGGAGCTGCCTTGCACCATCTTGACTAGCTGTGTACCCTGGCTCCTCTAGTGGCCTTTATCTCAAAGAAAATGGTGCGTACTGGTGGGTATGGTATGAACATTAATTCAAACGTTCTACATCTATCAGCTACAGAGGTGGAGGGGACGTTTCGTGTCAACGGTTCTACTAAGCGCATGCGAGATCTACAAGCCGCTTTCGAGACACCGCCACGGGTGCGTACATAAAGCTCCTATAGAGCGCTATGAGGTTCAATTGGTGTACTATTTTCGCCATCAGTACGGAAAATCGTTGGACTGGAAAAATGAACACTTTACAACACATGACGTCGCAAGCGTCTTTCGTAGATACTTAACTCAAATGCCTGTCAGTGGCGCTCCACGTTCCGTGCCGTGCCTACTCATGCCCCACTCAGGAACCCGTAATACCACACGATATGTATCACGACGTGAGTGTATGCTACTTCCTTTGTTGATCGGGGCTGACGTCTCAATCAGTTCCGGGACGTTTTGGGTAAGAAGTCCTGACAGCTTGATGCACAAGCTGAACTCGGGCCTGTGCAGGAAAGAAACCATTCAACCATGATGAAGTGATTGCAACGTACAAGCGTCTAATTCAACGCATGCCCCGCGCAAACCAATACCTTCTTCTCTACGTATTGGATCTATTATCAGTATTTGCACGAAAATCAGATAAAAATCTTATGACAGCCACAAGTACGCCATGCCCCTCTGTGATTAACTTTATCCTCATCTCCCGCACAGATCTCGCGGTAATCTTTCGGCCCGGCCTTATATCCCATCCTACCCATGAAATGTGCCCTGGGGAACATGCGCTGAGCCAACGTGTTCTCGAATTTCTTATTGCGCAACAGGACTGGTTCTTACTCGACATACCACCGCCACCACGATCAGAGCAGAGCTCTTCGTGGAAGCCTCCACCACGGCCTCACCACGCACACACACAGGTACCAAGTGAGGAAGACTCGGATCTTGTTGTTGTACCTAGTTCAGATGACGAGCCCACGTCAATTACTGGGGGCTGGAAGCTTGTCGGCCGTGACAGGCGCCGCATTTACAGGCGCCGCACAACGCTAGAACATACTGGTGGGTCATTCCTGGGGGCCGCGTCTCAATTGGACCGCCGCTGAAGTCGGAGGGCACCCTTTTGTGATTGTGCCACATTTTTCCCTCAGGTTCGCTCGACAGAACAGAAGATGTTGATAGTGGGCAATTGTCGCCTGTCCTGGAGACCCCAGCATCACGCCCTGTAAGCCAAGCTTCAGGTCCTGCAGTGAGCCGAAGTCGGACGTTGCCCTCCAATCGAGGAAGCACGGACGACGAGAAACACCGTGCTAGGGTGCTCAGAAAACAGAAGCGAGCATCAGCTCAGCCGCGACCTGGGGGTCATGCAGGAGGGTAGGATGGGTGGGATGTGGGTGAGATGGAGTCACATCTGGAAGTTTGTGATATTGATATACTTCGAGGCGGGCACGGCGTTGTTGTGCCGAGCTCCCGATCGCCCATTTGTTGTTATTATTTTTTTCTTTTCCTTTTTACCGGTTTGGACAGTTGCCATCTGAGTTTTCTATGTATACTTTAGGGCTACTTACTTGGGGGAGATAACAAGGACAGTTATTTTCATGCCGCCGACGGTCGACCAGGTTCGGTCAGGGCATATATTAACATAAATTCCGCAGCATCTAAATTTATCTACCTAAGGAAAGATTTGCACCACAATAAAGCCGGGGGCACCCGTTGCCAGAAGCCTGGGTAGGGTCGAACAAGAAAAGGCAATCGTTGGGGCCTTTTGATAGGGCATGTTAGGGCGCGTTTGAGGTGGGGCGCAGGAAATTAAAGAAGTCAGGGAAACCAACTGTCAGTTTCACAGTTTCAACGTTCCCTTAGATCTCTTCTGTTATCCTTGACTTGCAAAAATGCAACAAAGTGGGTACTCGAGCTCGATGCAACAGGTAGCGCCCTACAGGGACACCCCGACGACCTCTACTGGCACTCCAAACGACCCATCAGGCCTAGTAAGAACCCGTTACCATTCATTATGATATTGTTCGAATTCATATACATATATGTGTCTGGTCTGAAACCCGAGTTCGCTTGGATTTCTGTTCGTTTAATTGTTTCCGTTTCAGTCTCTTTTCGCTTGCACCTCTACTTACATCCTTCTCTGAACTAAATTTCTGCTGCGCAGGCCACACACGCTCATTCGCCCTTCGACTCGTCGCACGATCTTTCATCAGAGCCAACGCTCAGGAATCCTCCAACAAACCAAGCACAGCCCGTGCCCTACATGTCCGTCCCACAACCAGGTTACCAAAACATCGAGTCCCGCAACAGCGACTGGCTGGAGCAGTCACAGAGGGCGAGCAAACGGTCAAGACGGATCGTGAGTTTCACTGTCAACCTATGTAGTGCTTGACCACTTAACAACGTCCTGCTGGAAAGGTTATTGGTTCGGTAGTTGCCCTCATCATTCTAATCGCTGCCGGTGTCGCACTTGGTGTCACGCTCTCGAAAAAGAGCTCGAGCAACAACTCGAGTTCGAGTTCGAGCAGTAGCGCCCCAGCTGGAACGAACCCTAACGATCCGAGTAACTTCCCGAAAAACTCCGCTTTGGTCAATTCGTTCTATGGCATTGCGTATACGCCACTAGGCTCGCAGCTCCCCGATTGTGGCAATAATCTAAGTGTGTGAAATCGCGTTATCTTGGTTGGAATGTGTCTAATGTACCGCAGCGGAGGTCATTGAAGATATCCAGGTAGGGCTTTCGAGGGATCTTTCTGAGCACTTCTCTTACACAATCTATAATCTATAGTTGTTGTCTCAGATCACAACGGTGGGTGTCTCGATGGTGTCTTGTATGCCACGCACTCATTCTCTAATCGGTAGACCATCCGTCTTTATGGCGCTGACTGCAATCAATCCTCTCTCGTCGTAAGTTATCGTGGGGGACTATTTTTCATGTGTTTATCTATACTTGTTTGCAGCTTGCCGCCATCCAGGCTACCAAGGTCAACATGTCTGTCTATCTCGGCAACTACCCCGATGCCACCGATAACGGGGCTGCGTACGAGCGCCAGAAAGGCGAAATCCAGACTGCTCTTCAACAATACGGTGCAGCCAACGTGGTCGGTGTTACAGTCGGCAATGAATTCATCCTTGAGTTAGCATTCGTTGCTGAATTTCAAACTGTTGGCTAAACCAGCTCTCAGTTACATCACATCGGCAGGGCAGACGGATCCCAACGGCTCCGCAGGACAGGCAGGTTGGCTCATGGTTTTCTTTCCTGCTGAAACGAATTTCCAATTGTTTTGTCACAGCCGCAGCGATGTTGATACCCTGGATCAGCGATACCCGTTCAATGTTGTCCTCGATGGGTATGAGCAATATATTAGTCGGCAATGCAGACGCTGGAAGTTATTTCAACAACGAAGTGCTATCTGCCGTTGACTATGGGGTTGGTCTCCCTCTGTATATGTGTTTAATGTTTGCTTATGTTGTGCAGATGGCGAACGTCCACCCATGGTTCGCCAATCAATCGATTAATGACGCTGCCGCCTGGACGGCCGACTTCTTCAACACCACGGACTTCGCTCTTGCTCAATCTCTTTCGAACAAACCGAAGATGTTCATTGCTGAGACTGGCTGGCCAACTGTCTGTTTGCTTTCTCCTTCATCCCTGACTCGTTTAACTTGTCCTATAGGGTAGTTCTTCTTTCAATGCCAACCCGAATGATGGGCCTTCGCTCGCTTCGGCGCAAAACCTGCAGGTGGGATTCATTCTCGCTTCGTTATGACTTACAATGATTGCTAATTTCATACTTGCAGATATTTATAGATACTTTCGCATGTCAAGGTATGCGTTTCTTCTCACAAGGAGCAAGGACAATAATAGCTCAATGTCACATCAATAGCTACCAAAAACGGAACTGGGTACTTTTTCTTTGAGGTGCGTATTTGATCTCCCAACGTTTTTAATTGTGCTCACTGCCATGTACGACAATAGTTCAGTGACGAGCCTTGGAAGGTAAGCTTGCACTCGCAATATCCAGGAGCAGGGTCTGACTTTGCCTTGCAGAACGTAACGTATGGTGGTGTAGAGGTAAAGTTCAGATATTTTTAGTTTCGTCATGGCGATCTCACCCTTACTCGCTAGGGATACTGGGGCTTGTTCGACGCCAAGTAAATTTTCACTCCACGTTACCTGTCTGCGGCGCTAATGTCTCTTGATAGCAAAAACCTGAAAAACATCACGATTCCCACATGCTAGCCTGTTCTTTCTCACTCGGACACATACTCTATGCGGACTTCATTGCCAACATATTTAAACCTTAGCCATGACACTCTTTTCACCACTCAACCCTTTATCCATCCTGTTTTTCTTTCTTTCTGCATGCGGCGGTGGATGGGCTGGTGATCTTTATTGAACGTTTACTTCGAAAGGACTATGCTATGTTGCATCTTTATCTGCGATTTTGTCATCTAGCTTTGATTGACTGACGTTTTTGACGATGTATTTAATACCCGTAGGAACTGCTGAGCATTTAGCTCATGCACATGGTCGGTGGTAGTTCATATGAATTGCCATGCCAGCCTCAACCCTTGTGTGATTGAACCGTGATTTCCTGGCAAAGGGCCGAACTTTGTCGGCAGGGACCTGGTGGCTATATTGTAACCTTTATTACTTGACATGTCCTGACTTGATCGATCGATCCCCCATGCCCTCACGGCCCTGAGCGCTTATTCAAGGGCATTTAGCGCAGTGGTAGCGCGTATGCTTTGCATACTAGCATGTATAAGGTCCAGAGTTCAATCCTCTGAATGTCCATTTTTTTGCCGTGAAACTGGTAGATCGCGATGTGGAACTTGACTTTGTTCTTGGTGTTTGAGACCCTTGACACTGTGTGATCAAGCAAGGAGACATGAAGATCGAAAAAGTACTTGACAAGACAAGTGAGTCCTACAAGATGATACGACTGGCCAAGTATGGCGGTGCCGCGGGGATAAAAAAACATCCGCATGAAACATTACAATCCATTTGAATCTTATCTCAAAGTTTCGGGTTGTTCAGCAGTAAACGAGAACAAACTATTTAAATGGCACGAGAAACGACGGAGGTACCCGTCTGTGATCGTGGGGTAAGGAAAGCCTGATTAATGGGGGAAGACACTGGCAGAGCACTGAGTTACGATATTGGGTAAACGAGAACGACCCCTTTAAAATGAAACAACTGACCACCGTTGGGTATACTGATTAAGGTAATAATCAATTGGACATCATACTGTTGGAATGATAAATACTTTATACCAGTGCTATCTCGATTTTTTGTGACCTAGGCGGAGACAGACCAGCGCTGAGTATCGATATGGGCCGGGGTTTAAAGTTTGCTAGTGAGTGCGACCTTATCAGAGCTAATCGATTGATGAGTGTGCTGATGGAAAGGAACATCGTGTAGGTAAAACAACACATGTTGATACAGAGTTGAATTAAACAAAACGCGTGTGTTTTGCATTTGCCTCGATGTATGTCTCATTTTCCGTTGTGTGGGTACGAGGGTACTGACAAGAGACAGGGGTTAGAGTACGTGTCTTGCCACGGGAACTAGCGATGAATAAATTTATGTCATCGCCAGCTTTGTTTGAGAAAGCGAATGACTTGTCACGGAGAAGGGCACATAAGAACATGGCCTGATTATCACGCAAGGTCCATATCGATGACACGCTGCAGTAGAAATTAATACCTTGGTATAACACGTTTTTATCAGTCTAGATTATTACGTAATCACGTGACTTGTAGACAGTTTTTGGGGAAGTTGACGCCTGAAACCAAAAAAATTAAATACACTGGGGACTACCAGGCCTATAAAACAAACTTCTGAACCCTGTCCTCTTTCTTTCACTCCCCTCCTCACGTCGTTCCCGACGTCCATCGTATCCCTCCAAAATGTCAGTCCAGAACGGTGACGCCGTTCACGAAAACCAATTTGCTACCCGTCCACTAGTAATATCCATTGCAAATGTTAGAGTACGCGTCATTTTTTCATGGCATCTATCTCTTGTTTAAATTGGCTTTTCAGGTCTCCATTCCCGTCTCCACCCAAATAGACGAGTGGATCGCTGCCGAAGTCCTTAGAGATGACTTCATCTTGTCGCAGGAACGCGTCGATGTCGCTGGCACCGTCGCTGACTCAGAACACCCATTACAAGCCAACGTAGATATCTTTGCACGTTTCCTCGCTTTCATTGCACACAGGACTTCCGATGCATCAGACTGCGCAAAGGCACGCATCTCTCTCCTCGCTCGTGTGTTCACGCATTTCGTCTCCTCATATCTTACCGATACCGACCTCTATTCTTTTGTAAACCCGTTCGATACCGAGGTCCGCACTGGAATCCTTGCAGCTTACTTTGCTGCACGTGCTACCCTAGAGAACCATAATGTTGCAGATATTGCTGCTCCCCCGGCTTCTGCCCTCCTCACAGCTGTTGATGACTCCGAGGCATCAATATATGCGCTTTTTGGTGGTCAAGGGACCAACGAGGTCTACTTTGACGAGCTTCAGTCCTTGTATGACACCTACAAGCCTTATGTTTCTCCTATAATTACATCCATCACAAATGACATTCTCCTTCCCCTCGTCTCATCCCGCCAGGGTTGTAGCTTCTACAATTATGGCATGAATGTCGCGGCATGGCTCGCAGGCACATCTCCTCGTCCCCCTGTTGAATATCTTGCCTCCATCCCAGTCTCGCTTCCTTTGATCGGTCTCACCCAGCTGGTGCAGTACCTTGTCATCTGTCACGTCTCTGGATTCACTCCCGGCGAGCTCCGCGATCATTTCGCTGGTGCAACTGGCCATTCGCAGGGCGTAGTCTCTGCCATCGCCATTTCTGCGTCCACATCCGTCGAATCATTTGATATCAACGCTAAGAAGGCCCTCCGATGGCTCTTCTTTTGTGGTATGCGCGCGCAGGAAGCATTCCCCGTGCTTGCCCTAGAACCAAGCATAGTTCAAGACTGCATCGATGGAGGTGAGGGTGAACCCACGCCCATGCTTTCGATCACGAACCTGTCGCTCGATGTACTGCAGCCCCATCTCGACGCTACAAACGATCATCTACCTGCAAACGCGCAGATCGCTGTCTCCCTGTTCAACGGTCCCAGAAACTTTGTTGTGACTGGTCCTTCACGTTCCCTGTGTGGGCTTGTCACAAACTTGAGGAAGGTACGTGCATCATCTGGGCTTGACCAGAGCAAGGTGCCGTTTTCGCAGCGCAAACCTGCGTTCGGTGTCCGATTTTTGGTGGTCAATGCCCCCTACCACAGCGCACATTTGAAGGGCGCTGCCGAGAAGTTGTGTGATGAAGATCTTGAAGGCGAGGAGCTTTGGACCAAAGAAGAATTGGGGATTCCAGTATTCAACACCGAAGATGGTGCGCATATAGTCACTTCAAATCATGTTTCTGGCTGATTTGATGGTTACAGGTTCTGATATGCGCGATTCGGAGACATCTATCACGCGTTCGTTATGCGACCAGATCTTTACGTCTCCTATTCACTGGACGCTCGCAACTGGATTCCCCGAGACCGCGACACACGTCATTGACTTTGGTCCCGGTGGCCTGAATGGCATTGGGCCTCTCACGGCTCGTAATCTTGAAGGTCGTGGCGTGCGTGTTGTCACGCTAGGCGACAAGGGCCGCGGCGAAGCGGAACTCTTTGATACTGAAGAAGTCAAGTACGATGAGTGGTGGAGCAAGAAATACGCGCCAAAACTTGTGAAAACAAGGTGCGTCAATCAAGGACCGTGACTTCATTTCAGATTCTGATATGACATGATAGCGATGGTACTCTTCACCTTGATACGCCTTTCTCGCGCCTGCTCGGGAAGCCTCCGATCATGGTCGCTGGTATGACACCCACAACCGTGAAAGCGGGCTTCGTCTCTGCGGTTCTCTCTGCAGGGTACCATATCGAGCTGGCAGGTGGAGGTCACTACAACCCTGCAGCGCTGCGTGCAAAAGTTGCCGAGATTCAAGCACAAATTCCTACAGGCGTCGGCCTTACGCTCAACGCCCTCTACATCAACCCACGCCAATTCGGGTTCCAGTTCCCCTTGTGGCAGGAAATGCGCCGCGAGGGCTTACCTATCGAAGGTTTCTGTGTTGCTGCTGGTATTCCCAGCACTGAGAAAGCAGCAGAGATCATCGATGGATTAAGGAAGGCTGGTATCCGGCATGTGTCGTTCAAGCCTGGCTCGGTGGATGGTATCAGGCAGGTCGTCAACATTGCGAAGTCTAATCCTGATTTCCCTATCATTCTTCAATGGACGGGAGGTCGTGCCGGTGGTCACCACTCCTACGAAGACTTCCACATGCCTGTGCTGAAAACATACAGCGCCATGCGTGCGCAGGAGAACTTGATTCTTGTCGGCGGTTCCGGGTTCGGAGGTGCTGATGATGTATGGCCATATCTCACTGGTGATTGGTCAAAGGACCTCTACGGCCAGCAGCTCATGCCATTTGACGGTTTCCTATTCGCGTCGCGCGTCATGGTGGCCAAGGAGGCGCACACGAGCTCCAGTGTGAAAGATCTTATTGTTGGAGCGCGTGGTGTCGATGACAAGCAATGGGAAAACACGTATGCAAAGCCTACCGGCGGAATCTTGACGGTGCGCTCAGAGCTGGGCGAGCCTATCCATAAGGTCGCTACGCGTGCTGTGAAGCTCTGGAAGGAGTTTGATGACACCGTCTTCAAGCTCCCGAAGGAGAAGCGCAGCCCTTGGCTTGCTGAGCGCAAAGCGGAGATTATTGGCAAATTGAATGCAGACTTCGCGAAGCCATGGTTCGGTTGGAAGAAGGATGGGAGTGTTGCCCTCGATCTGGGTGACATGACGTACGAGGAAGTCGCTCTACGCATGGTTCGTCTGATGTACGTCTCGCATCAGAGTCGGTGGATCGATTTGAGCTTGAGGAACTTGACGGGCGATTGGTTGAGGCGCGTAGAGGAGAGGTTTGCCGGTGTTAATGGAGGGTTGAAGGCCAGTGTCCTGCAGAGCTTCACAGAGCTGGACGATCCCAGCAAGTTCGTGGAGTCGTTCTTTGACAAATATCCTGCTTCGAAGACTCAGTTACTCGCTGCTGAGGACCGCGCGTACTTCCTTACAATTTCTCAGCGCGCAGGCCA